AACTGTGCCCACCACTGCTGAAACTTTTGGCCACACAAACCAGTTTATGTCACGAGTCTGTAATGTGTTCAGGTCTCAAGCTTAGAAGCGAAGCCGGCAGGGCTGAGAAAAGGAATGATCGGTTTCAGTGATTCACAAACATCGAGGGTACGAAAGACTCTGAAGGCCATACACACTTTGGAAAACAAGCTGCAAAGGGTGAGTTATTTAAAAAAAAAATCTGTTTTATTTTCTTCTATTTTATTAATGTTTTTATGTGTTGTACATTTAGGCTTCCACCCTCCTCAATGAGCAGTTGAACAAAAACTCCCACCTGGAGGAAGAGTTGGACTTTCTTAAAACTGAGAAAACTCACTTTCAACAACTGCACCTGAAGCTAAAAAAGGTTAGTGACCACAACATGTTTGACCTCTCACTCGTTCTGTCCTTTCATCTTGAGCAGTGGCTGTCAAATTAAACTGTGCTGCAGGAGCTGAAGGAAGTTCACAAGAACATCAGAGAAAAACAAATCCAGTTCACTGCTGCTTGCAATGCCAGGTCAGAATTCAGATTGTGACYCAATGTAGAGCTAATCAGAGAGACGTGAAACTCAGATATGTTACCTGTACATAAAGGCTTGAGACAGAATCTCCCATGCGGGAGAAAGGAGTGAAGGAGGGTGCCATGCACGGCAGGAGCACCAAGGGCCTTAAGAAGAAGAAAGGCAAAAAAAATCAGTAAGTTTTGCATACTGATGAGGAATACATAACATTGGCAAAAATTGCAGATTGTATATATTTTCTTGTCCAAAATACCAAATTTAATTAATAGCAATTGCCCTGMGGGAGGAAGCAGTGAAGGAGCGTGCCATGCACGACAGCACTCTAAAAATGAAAAGTTGTATTTACTTAACCATGTTATGTTACCTGTTTCCACTTAACTGAGTTGAGTAAATTCAAAGCAAGATTTGACAGACTTTGTTAAAGGGACACCTGACTGGACAAGCAAAGAAGGGGCAATACCGTACAGCACCACTTCATTGGACAAAAACAAAAGGGGCGTTACTGTACGGCACCACTTTTTCTGGAGAACCCTACTTGGGTCACATTTCTCCAGGTTAACCTTAGTGTTGGGGTCAGGGTCAGGCTGTATAGAGGTCAAGCAGGATCTAAGGATGCCGTCATGTAGGCCTCGTAGCCCACAGTGTTTATGCTTTTGACACACCCACTCTTGTGACACGCCCACTTTGTTTCCGCAGGTAACCCCTTCTCCAGGTTAATAGCCTGTATGCCACGGACATCCGGTCCAGCACTCGGGGCCACTCCGACCACTTCCAGTTCACGGTCAAYACAGTGTTGAATTAGCATATTACATGTTTAACACAGGAGAGGTACAGGTCCAGCCAAGTGGAAAAAACATCACTCCAAARTGAATTAAAGCCATAAAAACAAAGGAAAGACGTTCGTGTTTATGGTTCCAGAATTTAGCCTTTTTTGCTTTTCCTTGGCTGCTTGTTCCGTGAATTTTTCACGTAGAGCTGTGACACTTACAGCGGGTAAAATAAGTATTGAACACGTCACCATTTTTCTCAGTAAATATATTACTAGAGGTGCTAATGACATGAAATTTTCACCAGATGTCGGTAACAACCCAAGTGATCCATACATACAAAGAAATCAAACCATAAATGTCCAGAAATGAAGTTATTTGTWATAATGTGGAATGGCACAGGGAAAAAGTATTGAACACACTTACTGAAATTTATCTAATACTTTGTACAAAAGCCTTTGTTGTCAATGACAGCTTCAAGACGTCTCCTGTATGGAGAAACTAGTGGCATGCATTGCTCAGGTGTGATTTTGGCCCATTCTTCCACAAACAGTCTTCAAATCTTGAAGGTTTCGTGGACCTCTTCTATGAACTCTGATCTTTAGTTCTTTCCATAGATTTTCTGTTGGATTCAGGTCAGGTGATTGGCTGGGCCATWCCAGCAGCTTTAGTTTCTTTCTCTGAAACCAACTGAGAGTTTCCTTGGCTTTGTGTTTGGGCTCATTGTCTTGCTGAAATGTCCAGCCACGTTTCATCTTCATCATCCTGGTAGATGGAAGCAGATTTTTTATCAATAATGTCTGTATATTTTTCCACTCATCCTTCCTTCAATTATTTGAAGTTTGCCAGTACCATATGCTGAAAAACAGCCCCACACCATGATGTTCCCACCTCCAAACTTCACTGTTGGTATGGTGTTTTTGGGCTGATGTGCAGTGCCATTTGACCTCCAAACATGGTGTGTATTCTGGCATCCAAACAGTTCAATGTTGGTCTCATCTGACCAGACTATATTCTCCCAGTATTTCACAGGCTAAATATTTTCAGTTACAAGCTGAGTCATTTCTACCTTCTCCTCTCTGTCAACGCTCTCTGGTTTCATTTAAAAGAGTCGATCATCAGATATTGTCCAAGATTAACCTTCAGTGTGGATATAGCTCGCTCACACTGAGGACCTATCCACATCATCATTTACCCAGAATGCTTTGAGTGTAAATAAAATGGCCCTGTCTGTGTAATATATTTTTAAACTTTTAGTTTAAAAATTATAAAAACTAAACAGCCTACAGTATTTTTACAGTCTTTATTTTACAGTTAAAATATATGTTTGTCAAATAAAGTCTAATGTTCTTACAATTTATAACACAAACAGTTTTCAAATTTGTGTTTTTATCGATAAGATTTCTGAAAGAAAACAGAGTATGCCAATGCATTTTATTCATTATTTTAAATTAAATTTGCAATTTCATTCTTACTTAACTCGTCAATGCTCAGCATTTCATCTTCCTAAATGTCAGACCAGAAGAGGTCAGTTTTCTGATCGACCTAGGGGAGCAATACTTTGGAATGAATATTCTCATTTAGCAAAAAGCAGGCCCTCTGTTAAACAATTTAAACGTTCTCTCAAATTGTACTTAATCAAAATGTTGTGATTGTGATTTTTTTTTTCTTTTAAATGCTTTTATTGTTATACATTTTGCTTAAAATTTTTATGATTTAAGTAATTGATGGATTTCATTGGTGGTTCAATGTATTTTTATTTTTCCGGTGGAGGCTTCAAATAAGCCTATTGGGCTTTTTGCCTCTCCCTGCACTGTCATTATCTTTTTTCTTCTTTCAACTGATTTGTAGTTTTTACTGTGCAAATAAACTAAACTAAACTATGTTACAACTAATCATGGATCCYTTTAAAGTGGCAGAGGTGGGAGGAAAACAAAATCACACCTGCTGCTACTTAAGCTCAGATTAGATATAACTATTTAGCCTCTTGCCAAACTCCACAGGAAGAACTATTTAGCCTTGRAGTAGCAGGCTTTGTTCACAGTTACACTTTGGGCAGGGTAGTTAAAAATAAAATTGTTAATAATAAGAAAAAACCTTAAGCAGTTGTTTCAGAACAATCCTAACTCATCATGGCTTTTTTTGGACGACAGACCAGCTATGGTTTTATACCTGAGGTTGTTGACGATCACAAGATCGCTCCTGATCATCAGTCTTACTTCGGATTTAATCATTTGTCTGTTCATTTGGGATCACCTATACCAGATTTGAATCTCAACCAGCAGACCTTTGAAGGGTTTTCCAAACTGRACCCCAATGCTGACTCCACGAACCRGTTTGATRCGGTTTTCAGGTGAGTTCTGCAGCATAAACTAGCAGATTAAAGTAAATCTAGTTTTATTGAAGTGATGAAACCTCTTATCTTGTTTTAGTCCTCTTTTGGATATGCCTTCAGCTGTCAGCTCAGACACATTTTTTCGCATGTGGGATTGTAAAAATCTCTCACTAAACTTCTCTCCACACAAACCTCAGGAAAATCATRGGAATGAACATCCTGACTGGTAAGAGGAGTTGTAAAATCTGTAATTTGGCAGGAGTATAGTTAACTCGATGTAATTTTTTTTAACATGCAGGGAATTATCATCTGAAGAAGTACCAAATGTGACATTCCAGACAAATTACTTTGATTTTCGTAAGTGTTTCTGTGTTCGTTTGTTTTGTTTTTTTGCTTTGAAAACTCCACTGAAAGATCAATGTAATGTTGCTTTTCCTCCTGTGCTTTTYGATTTGTAGTTCCTTTGTATCAGAACTATGTCCAGACGTCTGTGAGAGCTAAGGTGCACAAACTTGAAGATGATGTATTTGAACTGATAAAACCCCAGTCAGCTCATCGTCTGGAAGGGATGCCCCGTTCCAAGTCTAAACCTCTTGAATCTCCTAAATTTGAAAGTCTGCAATTTACTCTAAGCCCTCAAAGCCATATTCAAGATTCACCTCTTAAATCTCCTTCTGAGGTTACTCTACCACGCCCTCCATCTGAGTCTAAGGTGACCACCTGCAATCTCTGGCAAGACTTGGAAGAAGTGAAAAATTCTGACCTGCWCAGCATCTTGACACCTAAAGAGATCAGCCTTCAGGAGGTCTGTCATGTTTTTCTAACGTAGAGAAGTAATCGGCAAAAGTCTAATTCATTTTCTTCCCTTTTTTTAAAGACCATGTTTGAGCTGATGAGCTCTGAAGCCTCCTATTTGAAGAGCCTTGGTGTTTTGGTTCATCATTTCTATGGATCAAAAGCACTGAAGAAGACCGTGTCTGTGGAGCACGGGATGGTGTTTTCCAATGTTTGCCAAGTGTTTGCAGTCAGTGCAAGGTGAGTTGCCCAAAYACAGCATCACTTTTGCTTTATAAAAGTAGTCATAACTGTTTTTCTTTCTCTGCAAGATTTCTTCAGGACCTGGAAACTCGACTGGAAGAAAGCCTGTTTATATCTGAAGTTGGCGACATTGTGCTCAGGCACTGTAAAGATTTCCATCAAACCTATGCAACATATGTGACGAACTCAACATACCAGACAGCCCTTGTCAACCAGCTGCTGTATAGTTTTACTTTCATTACACTGGCTGTCTTCTAAACATCGCCATATTTTTATTGCAAATTACTGAACTCCTTTTGTTTTTATTTTAAGGGAGCAAAATCACAACTTTGCACATGTGCTGAAGAAGCTTGAGAGTGACCCAGTTTGTCAAAGACAATCCTTCAAGTCATTCCTGGTTCTTCCTTTCCAGAGAATTACACGCATTAAACTCCTCTTAGAGGTAAAAATCAAATGAGTTTAATAGCAGGCTTCCTACAGATCCTTAAAGTCTTAAGTCAATGAATTCATCAATTCAAAAATAAGGCCTTAATTAGCCTTAAATGTCTTAAATCAATTTTCAAATGTCTTAAAACGCTAAGACATGGTACATAGGATGACTGTAATTCATTTCAAATATTAAAATAATTGGTAAAAAATATATATTTAAATATTCACATGCAGACATTCCCCTTGACATCACTTCTGTTATTTCACACGCAAATATCTCAATTGTCCATCTGAGCAATGTGAAATTTGTTTTGTCATGTTAATAATGCCTTTCCAAAAAAATGCATTCACTTTTCTTACAAAAACTTTGATGCCACAGGCACTTAAAGTTTTCATTTACAGCAAATTGGTGTTAAGACCCCACTGTGGGTCCTAAAAACTCCAAATTTTGGGGTTGTTGGAGGATTTCCTGAAATTAAATTAATTTTAAAACTGACTGCTAAGAAGGTTTCTGCAATAGTTGGATATGGATAAAAACAATTGATCTATTAGCAACATTTGGATACTTCAACCAAAAATACTTTGATTCATGAGTTTCTGCCAGTTTTTATTTGTCATTTGTGTTTATTGTGAAATTGGTCTTAAATTTAATTTCACTTGGCATTAAAAAGTCTTAAATTTAACTTGCCTTAAACTGTAGGAACCCTGAATAGGAATGCATCCTCAAAATCTTAATTTTTCTTTTTAAATTTCAGACCATCCTGAAAATGACTCAGCCAAACTCTGATGCAGCCTTGAATCTTGACAAAGCGATCAATGGCCTCCATGAGGTATGGTAATGGTTTTTTGTTTATTATTTTTTTTCACTTTTACTTTAATGCCATTTTTAACAAAGTGAAATATCTTTGGTTTTTACCTTTTTTTTTTTTTTTTGTTTAGATACTGATATTTTGTGACAAGAAGATCCAAATAAATAAACAGATTGAGGAACTCATTTGCCTGGAAATGCTGATGGACTATAACGACATTAAGGTAATCAAACATTTTTCTCAACTTAAAAATTGCATTCTGTAAATTCTAACTACTGTTCTTCTATGCAGTCGATTCCTTTGGTCATAAGCACTCGGTTTCTGATCCGCCAAGGCCCTCTGAAACAGCTGACTATTGTGGGCCAAAAAAGATCCTTCAGTAAGATCTTCCTCCACCTCTTCAACGACCTTTTGATCTTCTCCTCAAAGAAGTACGTACTTTGCGTATTTCTGATTATACTTGAGCTTTAAAATGCATGTCTTTAAAGATATGGCTACATTTCAGTGTAATTTAGTGTTTGACCTGCTGCTGTCCTGTGTTCAGGTATCAAAGGTTCATGGTGGTGGATCACACTCAGTTCCCTGAACACGTGACCGTAGAGAATCTGAAGTCTGAAGCTCTGGGACTTCCTCCAGACTCCTTTCTGTTACATCTGTCTCAGAGTCAGAGAGGACGGGCGACTGCCATGGTCCTGGTGGCACTTTCAACGTAAGACAGGATCAAGTGAGTAAATTTTAAAATCTTAGCAGTCATGTATCTAATCAAGCTTTGTTGTAATTGCAGGTCAGACAAAGAAACATGGATGAAGGCTCTATCATCTAAGTGATGGGTTCTTGATATGGAAACAGTTTTTTTTAACTGAAGAGTTTTATGACTTGGTTTGTTTTGTTCTTTCTTCAGGGCTGTTTTGAAGCTCTGTTCAGCTAAATGTGTTTGAACACTCCATCTTTTKTTTTTTTTTTTTTTTTTTTTTTTAAAATGACCAAACACAGCAATTACTTAGAAATGGGTCTTATTTGTATGAGCATTTATGGGTCTTTTTTTTTTAAGCAATGTACCCCAATTTTCATATTAAAGTCTTGATATTAATGTCTTAAGTACTGATTTTTTTATTAATTAAAAAAATAGTTATCAGCTTTTTCGTCCAAAGAGAGATATATAGATATCTATATGGAATTATGACTACTCGGAACAAAAAGCAAGATATTTTAAAAGCAAATAATCATAGTTCAAACTTAGATGTATCAGAACTGTATTTCTGACTAGTCAAAATTCATTTTTAAGATATCTTGAATTAGAGCCTCCATACAACCTAATAGTAAATTTGTCATCTATATTAGTCAAAAATAATTGGAGATATCTTAATATGACTAGTCATAAATCACTTTCAAATAGTGTTGAATCAAATTTCATCTTAATGGTCTGCCATAAACTACAGCAAATTTGATACAAACCTTTTAATCTGAGCCACAGATCTGCAGGACATCCCTTTCATTAGCAGCTAGTGTTTATTTTTTTATCTTTGATTCAGCAGAACACTAATTTTACAAGTTCTTGTAATTGAAATGGTTTGTCATGGTTAAAATCGTAAGGTCCAGGTAATTTTTACCATTTCTAATCACGACCTCCATTTGAATTAATTTACTTTTGATCATTTGATTCCTGTTGTGAGTGTTGGCAGGTTGCTCGAGCTGTAGCGCAGTCCTGAAGCCACAAGTTCTCTGCAAGACAGTTGAGGAYGGGGGCCACATCACTCAGTCCATCCCCGACCTCCCCACCTGTCCGCAGCACCGGTAATCCCCACGTCTCCTTGAATTTCCGGACTTCTCTCTGTGGCACGTCACAGTGCGTGAAAACATCAAATCTGAGACRAGCATTAAGGGAAAACAACCATCAAATAACCAGTTCTCGTACTTGAGTGTTTTTTTTTATGACAAATTTGATTAAATGTCAGCAGTTTTAAGATTTTTTTTTTTCATCAAGGTAATCACTGAAAATATGGTTGTGCCAAATATTACACACTACTAAGTTGACAGATGTACAAATGTGTAGTGATTTATACACCYGTTTATTCCACCTCGAGGTGACCACTACAAATACTTATCTGAAAATTCCAGTAAAACAAAATAAATAAAGGATACTTGGTTCCAATCACCACTTTGACAACATGGCTGCAAGATGATTCGTTCCATTTCACAATTTGATTTGACAAATCATCAAAGGATGTCCTGTCAGTGAAGGAGAACAGGAAGAGGACAGCATCCACCTGTTCCTTACAAGACTAGAAAAAGAAAAAAAATGTTGAAAAAAAAAACGTAATTTGGATATATTTTTTACACAAAGACTTTTTTCAAAATGTTTGATACGCACTGGAAGCAAATGATCAAATCTTCGTAAGGCACTTTCTCCACAGTCCCAAAATTGCAGGCGAAAGAAAAGCACTCTGCCACTTTCTCTAAGTTTTACCGGCCAGTACACCACTGTTGTCTCAATGCCTTGAACAACACCAGAAACACTGTAAGAACATCTGAAAACAACCATCTCTATGGTACTGTTCCCTCCCAGAAAAGGATTTTCATCCTGAACCCACCTGTTGTTTCATGGTGCACGACAGGAATACTCAGGCCTGCGAGGTGTGCAGCGAGGGCAGTTTTACCAACTCCACTCTTACCAGAGATGAAAATCTTATAGTGAACTGTGTCCAGAGTGACATGTGGAGGCATCACTGGAGCCTCCAACAGACCTGCAAAACAAAGTTAGGAGGAAGAGAAAAAAACCCATTAAAATCTTCCTTCTTTTTGTCATGAACTGATATTTTTACAACTAATTTACTCTTCCCTCACAGTTTTAACCTGTAAGCTTAACCTTTGGTGACCAAATTAGTTGTTTTTTATTTGTTTATTCTTTTTTGTGCACAGTAAGTCTGCCATAAAGACAAAAATTCTGAAAACACAAACTGGCTATCACATCGCACGTACAGATCTTCACTGTTATTTAATGTGCTGATATGAATTTACTTGTTTTGTTTTTTGTCTACGCTTGTGTGTGTATATAAATATACATACACACACACATAATATATATATTGTGTGTGTG